AGAGGAAAGGAGAGTTTATCCAGGACACCAAGAGAAGACACATGTAAGAGAAGCAGCACTAGGACAATACAGAGAGAGCAGAAGCTCACAGAGGCTCCTCACTCCCACTGTCAGGGTGGGATTAGCATCCCACCACTATACACCAGATCAGGCAGAGTAGCATCAGGCAAATGCCTCCCTCGTGCTGTTCCCCACACTGGGAGGGTGGGTCACACCTCCAGCTGAGCATGAAGATAAGCATTGTTTCTGGTGGATGCAGATCTCTTCCAATATCTCAGCAGTGACTCTCCTCCTCAACACTGGATCCAGCCCTCCTTGCATCAGTCCTTACAGGTCTGATCCAGTCTGGGTTATCCCAACATCAACCATCAGCCTCTTTTAGAGATTTGGGGAGAGAAAAGTATGAGGGGAAGAAGAAGAAATAAAGAAGAAGTGGCAGAGAAAGTGATTACAAAAGGGACACCAGACTAGGTAAGGAGAAATAAAGAGAACAGTACAGCTGAGGGTGATACAGATATTGGAAGGAGGACACAGGAAGAAGGTGACAAGGCTGGAGAAGGGCCTTAGAAGGCAGAGCAGTTATCTCCTTTCCCTCACCACCTGCCTTAGCTTTCCATCCAGGTAGGAAATACTTGAAACCAGGAAGATGGCATCTCTTGACAAGCTGGGTACACCCTGTAAATGAGGCTTCCCTTACTCTCTTCAGTGCTTCAAGAACTGCCTTCTCCCAAAGTAGAGCAACCAGGGGCACCAAAACCTGCACGGAGTGTGGAGGGAGAGGCTGTTCCTAACTCAGATCTGCTCACACTTCGCAAAGGTTTTACTGTCACCTTCTTCAAATGACCAGACAAGTGTAGAAGCTGTAGGGCTGTATCTCATCCTACAGAGACACACTCCTCTGGAGCAATGGATGCAGGGCAAGCCTGGAATAGTGACCCCTCAGGGCAGTGGTTGCAGCAGAAGTGAGTGGCGGAGGGTCTCAGCTGGTGTTTCCACAAGAGCCTCACTCTGCAGAGGCAGCCAGGGACAGGGCACAGTGTCATGGAGAAAATAAAGGAAGCAGAGAAGAGCTGGGTAGCCCAAGGAGTTAAAGAAGGTAAAACCAAATAAGTAGGGGTAGTAGGAAAGAGAACTAAGTGCAAAAAACAATTAATAAGAGACAAGGTTTTCTCTCTCTCTCTCTCACCCTCAGACTGCAGTGCCAAACATACAACTCGATTGCTCCAGGCTCTCAGATACAGCTTTGAGTGGGCTGTGGACTTTTAAGATCCACACTAAAAGCTACAGCAATAGTTTTACTTACGCTTGCATAGTTGTAGTAGCAGTTTGAAAACTGAAGAGGTTCTCTTTCGGGAACCAGGTTCGTATGGGGACATCATCTGGAAAAGAGAGAGCAGAACCTGAGAATCCAGAGGGCAGAGAGATTGTTCAGACAGACAGCAAGACTTTCCAAGCTCTTTCTCTTAGTACTTTTCTTCATCATCCTGTCTTACTAAACAGAAGAGTCTCATCCTCCTCATATATATGCACACTACTACCAAGTGTGTTGTAAATTTGTGCTAAGCCTATTTGTGCTAAGACTAAGTGGAGAATGAAAGCTCTATCCTAAGAATGGAAGATTAAAATAATCCAGGAATTACAGAAAAGACATTTGAACAAGAAAAAAAACCAACAAACAAATAAAAAAACAACAGGGGAAAGAAACATTTTTAATTAAAAGCATTTCCCAGCCTCTGCCTTTTCCTAAGTACCATTAGTTTGGTTCCATTCATCCAGTTCTTTCTGATACAGCTTTCTGTGGAAGATGAAAAGCGTTCACCTTCCTCTCTTCACAACTGTAAACCTCAGACAAACTCTCTTTTTCTACTATTGAAGTTTCAATAAACCCCTCACACCAGCTCTGGATGACCTGGCCTTCATGAGTTTTTCTGCTTTCAGAAGTCAAACAGCACATCAGCTGTACAATCTGCAGACAACTCTGTGCTTATTTGGTCCCCTGTGTTTGTAAACTGCTCTGCCTGAGTCAACTGCAGATTATTTCTTAAATCCACTGCATTAGGACATCACATCATCTTCATGTAATGACCTCTGAAACAACAAACAGGCAGCAAAATAAGTCATTAATTATGTGTGTGGGATGGTGGTGACCAGAAGGAGGACTCTGAGCAAGAAGCAGCTCCTAGTGAGCTGAAGTTGGTCAGGCAGGGAATCAGAGGTGCATTAAAATCCACTGACACAAGATGTGTGAGATCTCAGTGGACTGAATCCCTGGGATTTGGGGCTCCCTGATTTTTCATCTTGCTTCACTTCCAGTCTGTGGTTTCCTTGTTTAATGCCTTGTCACACATTGCTGATCATGTCTCTTGCTTCACTCATTCAAGTTTTAAGATCATTAGCCACTATGGTATCATCTTAGTAGTCATTTATATTTTATATTCTGGCATTGTCAAGAGTATTTTTTTTTTAATTAACTTTCATTGGCCAAAACCCAATCAAACCCTGCATGTGTACTGCAGCCATAATTACTACAGACCAGATATCTTACCAAATGTTTTGTACAGATCATCCTCTACTACAGACTGATCCTGCTGTTGCCTAAAAGTACAAAAAGCAGCTGCAATTAGAGATGCAAAAAATACTAAATGTAACTGGGGAGACTCCCTTTGAAGTGAAGCTTCCAAGAAATGATCTAGAAAACTGCAGCAGACACTCCTCAGCTAACAGTTTATGTCAAGCCTGGTATAAAGGCACCCTAAGGAAATATGTATGTAAAATGAAAACTGCATTCTAAATACTTATTATCAAGTTCCTATGTCTGCTCGCCTCCAAAAAACAGATAGAGGAGAAATGCAAACCAACAAAAGATTGCAAATGAATCACTTGGAGTCTCGAACCCACAAAAGTGGTGAAGGAGGAGAAGTTGTACAAATTCCTTTCTAGCCAACAATTCCGTACAGACTTCTCAGGGACTATGCAGCTCCAAGGACTGACAGGTTCTTAATATATCTGACAGCTTTTAAGCCACCAGCTTTGATTCAAAGCAGAGCTTACGAACAACAAGTGATGTCCTTAGGAGGCTTTGCCTGGACAATTGCTGGAAGCCTCCTCTCCTTTTCTGATAGACATAGGGAAGATATGACAGCCCTACACACAGCACTCAAAGGAGAGTAAAGGATTTGTGACCCTTCAGAGGTGCCTCTGTACCAGCCAGAGGTAGAAGAGTAGCAGAGAAGCACACAGCTGGGGACTAAGGAGCACAGCTCAGCTCCACAGCTCATCCAGCTCGTTAAAATTCAGATTATGGTTATTCAGAGAATGGCTATTTTGCTTTTTGGCCAAGCAGAGCATCTTGTTTTCCTTTCTTGTTACCATCAACTGTGATGAAATAGTCAAGAAACCATGGGTCTGGGTAAGACTGGAAGAACACCACCACCATGCTCAGCATCTCCAGCCACTTGCCAGGCTGTATGAATATCTCAGCACCTCTGTCTGTGAGAGGATGTGTTTGTATCAGGTGCTGGGAGCAGCACAGGAGACAACAGCTTGTGCTTCTCTGGAATGGTGTTAGGCACCATAAACTCAGCATAAAAGTCCATATTAAATCACGGCCATGAGCTCTGGTTTGCAGCAGTAACGTGTCATGTAAATCCAAACAGAGAAAGCAGCGCTGTGAAGTGAACCTCTGGGGAAATCAGTCTCTCTTCTCAACTCCATTCACCTCTGCTCTGGTTTCTCCACTAGCCATGCATGAAGGACATTCCAAGAAACACTTCTTGCAACCTGCCACACTTGTGCCATTCCATTCTTTTTTTTCTCTCTGAGTAGCCACTCTTGGACAGAACATGCAAAAGAGAGCAAGTTGAGAAAACTCTCATTCCATGATGCCACAGTGCTATGATGGGATTTGATCTTGGAGGCACAGCACTGCCTGCACAGCCACACGTGCAAGCACTCAGAAGCTCGAGAGAAGCACTGAGGGTATCTGCTCCCTGCTTGTATGGACACAAAATACTCACAGAGGCATCTGCAGGTTCAGCACTGTCCACTTTGCTCCCATTTCAGTAACAACTCCAATGTATTTTCAGAAAAGCACGTCTCCATTTCACATTGATGACTGTCCCTAGCAAAAATTGCTGCCTAGTTGAAAATACGTGTTATAAATCCCAAGGCCCAGAAACAGACCGTGGCCTCTCTCTCCAGCATTGCCTAGGACATGTTTTCCAGCACACAGAGGGGTTTAGCTCCAGCTATGAGCTGTTAAACTCTTCCATTAGTGACCTGCAACTTCCCTTTGGTTCTGTATCAAGTCACCTGCTTCAGTCCCACAGTGGATGGTACAATTTGGATTCATTTAGGAAAGCTTTTAACATAAATCCATCAGCATTAGAACAGAAAATCTTCACTTTCTTAGTTCAGCACACATCATGAGGCTGCAACCGATTCAACTCAGCACCCCGATCTCTACCAGACCAAGTCCCTGGGTTTGGTGATCTCCTTGGGACAGAAATGCCTTTCTTTGTCCATTTTCACACAGGCTTTCTGGCTGTGTCATCACATGCAGAGCCATCTTTTATCAGGTAAAACATGGATGATCATAAAACCATAAAAGGTTTCCATACAGGAAAATTCTTCTCCCTCCTTTTCTTGCACTCAAGCAATAAAAATCATAAAGTCTAAACTTGCCCGTGTAGTGTCTCATGTGAAGGCCAAAAATCACAGGCAACAGAGGAACGATGCTTAAAGACTACACACAAGAATTAGCAGGACTGTAAGTGTTCTGCACTCTTGACAATCAATTATTTTCTAATTATTATTCTTTAGCATTAGACCATGTGTTAATTTAGTCACAGAATTTCAAGTATCTAGGAATGAAAATATAATCCAGAACCCAACCTTCCTGGGATTTTACCTGCAGTAAATATCACTATGATATTTACTAGAAAACTATGAACCCAGGACAGATGTCCAGTTTGATCTCCATGGTCTTCAATTTATTTTCAAGGAGAAAACTTTGACCTTTCCTGGCTGGACACTCAGCTCTAAAAGCCTCGATGTGTGTTTACAGAATAATCACACAAATTAGGTCAGACTCTTTGCCAGCCATATATAGAGCTGACAGGCAAAGATGGGCTGCCTACTAGCTTATAATTCAAAGCACACAGATGATGACATATATTTGATTAATAGCTAAGTTTTTAAAGACAATCAGCAATTTTTTAATGTAATTGAATAATTACAAGCCTCATTCCCTGAAAATATTGAGCAAATGGATAGTGAGTGGGGAAGAAAGTTCAATATTGTGTTATTTGCTAGTATTTGTGGAAAGTCTGTGATGTGGTACAACGTGAGGGACCCTGCTAAACTGCTTCCAGACACGTAGACAAGCATTTTGGGGACTTATCAAAGTACAGAACACAGTATCTGAGCTGAGGCTTCCTCAGAGCACCCTGGCACAAAGATTTCACCTGCCTCAGCCCCAGCACAAGGCAGAGGAGAGAGGGTCCTGCTCTGAACTGCCTCCTGGGTGAGCATAAATGTAGGTGCTTTGACACTGCCCCTGCTCTCTTGCTCTTCCTTCAACAGAAAGGGAACCCACAGAGATCAACCACACTAAGCACCATGAAGCTGGCATGAAAACCACCCAGGTGAGCTGCTGCTGACAAGTTAGAAGCAGAGACAGTGGGGTTTGGATGAGGTGTCCTCCAACTGAACTCAGCTTATCTTAAACTCTCCCTTTGACAATCCCTTTCCATGAATGCTGGTCAAGGTACCAGCAACCTGCTGAAGGGGAAACACTACAGAGGCCAATTCTGGGCATGTGGCAACCAACAAAACCTCCAGGCTGGGTTAAATGTGTGTCACCCTTCAGCTCTGAGTTGATGAGTCCCTTTGTGCCCTTCCAGCACCCACCTTTACTTACCAGACACTCGATCCACACTATACATCCTCTCCAGCCTTTTTCTGTGCCACCCAGTCTCACTGGATTGCTGCTGCTCCAGGTCAAAGGAATGCTGGGAAGGGGCAGCCAACCGAGTGCAGTTTGGACATTCCTTGGAGCCTTGTCGGCTGCCTGGCCAGCCCTTGCAATGCCTTGTAACGCCGTGAGAGCCACCAGCACTGTGGACATGGTGGCCGTGGTGGCATTCCTCTTGGGTAGCCCCTTTCATCACCACCAGTTCCATACTTTCGTTCTCATGGTCCGACAGCATCGGTCTCTCGCCGGAGATGGTGTAGACTCGTGGCTTTGGTCCCTCACTTGGCATCTTCTCTGCCTGCTCCTCCGAGAAGCTCCTCTCAAATTTGCCATCTGAGATGACGGAGAGCCTGCGCTTGTTCTGTGCCGCTTGCTGCATCTCAGGGGATTCCTCCTGCCCGATGTAGGAGTCTGCTAACAGGTGATCTGAAACAAATGGCACACCATCCTTAAAACCAAAGCACCCCAGACAGTGACAAATTCAGGAGGCTCTTTGTTACTGCTGCAGAAAGGGGAAGGGAGCAAGAGATATGGGAGGTTCCCCCAGGAACCTTTTCAGATGAACATGCGCTCACAGACTTGTAAACCTCCAGAGCTGGTACTGAAATGAGAGAAATTTTTCATCAACACACCCAATAGTTTAAGCATGCACGGCAACCACACACAGCTAGAAACAAATGCAGGTCTCATCATACAGCCTGAAAACACTTGCAAAACAGCCCCTGTTCAGCTGCGGAGTCGTGTCTGCTTCAGCGGGTTTAGCCACACAAGGGCTACTGAGCTGGTGAGAGCTTGTAGGACAAGGACCAGCACCAGCCTCACAGAATCACCCAGAATCACAGAATTGCCTTGATTGGAAAAGATCATCGAGTCCCATCATGAACCCAACACTGACCAGTCCCCGACTAACCCATGTCCCTCAGCACTGTGTCTACACGACTCTTCAATCCCTCCAGGGATGGGGACTCCACCACTGCCCTGGGCAACCCCTTCCAATGCCTCAGAACCCTTTCAGCAAAGAAATTCTTCCTCACATCCCATCTCAACTGCCCTGGGCACAACTGGAGCCCATTTCCTCTTGTCCTGTCCCTTGGGCCTCAGTTGAACAGACCCCCCCCCACCTCTCTCCACCCTCCTCCAAGGGACTTGGACAGAGCCAGAAGGTCTCCCCTCAGCCTCCTTTTCTCCAGGCTCAACCCCCCCAGTTCCCTCAGCCACAAGGGAACTCAGCACACTTGTGCTCCAGACCCTTCCCCAGCTCCGTTGCCCTTCTCTGGACACGCTCCAGCACCTCCATGTCCTTCTTGGACTCAGGGGCCCAACACTGAACCCAGCACTCCAGCTGCGGCCTCACCAGTACAAAGTCACGAACTCCGAGTCTTTTATGCACCACGTTATTATTTTTTAGAACAAAAGGAAAGAGGCAAAACACCCGGGTTTGGGTTTTCTCCTCCCTCCCTGATTTTTCTACCAATTGGTTTGACATGAAAGAAATGGAAAAAGACTTGAGGCGACAGCTGTGACACAATGTCCCGCTCTCTGGGCTCATCGCGTGCGCAGATGGCGGCAGCACAGCCCCTGGAAGCTCGTCCTGGAGGAAAATACAGCCCCTGCCTTTTGTAGGGTAGGAAGATCGAAAGGAGAGAGGCCCATGAGTGCAGTTGCAACTATCTTTGGAGCCCACACACTGGATGGAGTGCCAGGAAATCTCAGCATTTCCATGGCAATTCCATGCATGAACCCAACAGTAGCTCCCACCCACCTGCTAATCCTGTTTTTTTCAAGTGGCTGTTAATTACCTCTCACACTTCCCTTGGATGGGGAGCAGCCAGGGACTGGTAAAAAGGCTCAGTGGGGAATGCATTATTCATGTGACTATTACCCCAGAAAAAGTCAAATTATTAATGTCCAGCACAGACAGCAGCATTTGAAACAGAGGCAGAAAGCAAACCCAAGCCTTTACTTAACTAGATATTTAATGAATGTTAAATAATAACATTGAATAATAACATATTTAATGATCTTTAGCTACTGAGCCATGACCTAGAAGAACTCAGCAACTATGTGAGGCTTGGCTACCTCGTAGCTGGCCATGAAGAGATGAAGGAGGAAGAGACCTACCTCAGGACAAGTCACAGAATCACAGAATGTTGGGGATTGGAAGGGACCTCAAAAGATCATCCAGTCCAATCCCCCTGCCAGAGCAGGAACCTCAATGAGATCACACAGGAAGGTGTCCAGGCGGGTCTTGAATGTCTCCAGAGAAGGAGACTCCACACCCTCCCTGGGCAGCCTGTCCCAGGGCTCTGTCACCCTCACTGTAAAGTAGTTTCTTCTCAAGTTGAAGCAGAACCTCCTGTGTTCCAGCTCACACCCATTGCCCCTTGTCCTACCATTGGGCATCACTGAGAAGAGCCTGGCTCCATCCTCCTGACATTCACCCTTTACATATTTATAAACATTAAATAAGTCTGATGTTGTATGTGTGGAACATGGACCTGTCACTGCTGCCACATCCTGCTCCCCCTGAAGTACCCTTGTGCCCCTCCAAACAAACCCTTCCCAAGCTGAGGATGGACAATTCCAGTTTTTGAACCTCAAGCCCACCCTGGATTCTGTTCACGTTCTCTCTGCTCTGTATGCAGCCGAGATGGAGCTGAATGGAGCTGGTACCAGTACACTGTGTCACCTTCTCTCATTCTTCTGCTTCAGATATAAATTCCTCCAGCACCACTAGCACAGAAACACGCCTCAGGCCACTCTGCTCAAGAAGTGACTATCAGGACCATGCAGGCTGATACAACTCAGGTTCATTTCACTTGTCTCCTAGTAAGACCTCATGGCCTCTGGATACTGGAGGTGGCAGATGTGTGACTCTTTGGGCTGACCAGGAGAAGGAGCCTGTAGGAGTCATAGAATCACAGAATCCCAGACTGGTTTGGGTTGGGAGGGACCTTAAAGATCATCCAGTTCCAACCCCCCTGCCAGCAGCAGGGACACCTTCCACTAGACCAGGTTGCTCAAAGCCTCATCCAGCCTGGCCGAGAACACTTCCAGGGAGGCGCAGTCACAGCTTCTCTGGGCAACCTGTTCCAGTGTCTGACCACCCTCACAGTGAAGAACTTCTTCCTAATATCTCATCTAAACCTCCCCTCTTTCAGTTTAAACCCATTTCCCCTTGTTCTGTCATTAACTGCCCTTATGAAAAGTCCTTCCCCAGATTTTTTGTAGGCCCCCTTCCTACAAGAAAGAGCTATGCCTCTTCGATCTAGAGCTGATGCTGTCTTTCCAGACTTCAAATGAAGTCCAAAATGCATGCCTAGGTGTAGTGAGGAGTCATGCACCTCACTGATACTGCCCAGGGAAAATATGAGAGGTGGGAAGTGGTCTACCTCACCCATGGTCTCCTGCACAGAGACAGCATGGACATCTGCACCTCCCTCCAGGAGGAGAGCCTGATGGACAACAAGGATCATCACCAGAACAATTGCAAGCCATTCAATTGGAAGAAGCCACTCCACCAGTTGTCATTCAACAACATATCCACCGAGTCCTACCAGCTGCAGGACACAGTGTCATGGACCAACCAGTGCAGAAAGTGTTCACAGGCTCTGAAGTCTCTCCAACCACTTGTCACCCCTCAAGAGGCAGCAGGCCATCACATTTGTTCTCCAGCAACTCAGATTCCCTTCAGTTCCAAGACTAACTGTGCTCTAGAGTGGGCACGTCTTGGGAAAACACCATCTAATGACTCTTCAAGATCTGCCAAGATCTGTGCTGGTTGATGGTGCCAAGCACACCATTTTTAAAATTAAAAACAAAGGCCAGTTCTAAGTACTCGTCTCAACTTGTCAAACTTGCTAATCTGTGTGGGCACAATGATGCTACATATTTCTCAAGACACCACAAAATAGTGGCTGGCAGCTGCTGCTGTTCCTCCTGAAAGTAAGACTTCTACAGGAATTTCTGAACTCCGGTATCTGTGAGGAAATGGAATAATGAAGTGCCCAAAGTGTAGTATATCTGAAAATGCTGATGATCACAAGCACAGAGAGACCAATTCCAGTCTCTTTTATAAGAGTTGAGGGCTGTTCAGCCCCATTTAAGTTTCCATTTAAGTGGGACGTGACTGGTTTCAAGTAAGAGTCAACTTTTTACTGAAATCATGATAGGGTTACTATTCTTGATTGGATATATTTGACAAACTGTCTGATCTGCGATGCAAAATGTGAGGATAATCCATTCTTCCTACCTTACCTGTCCTTTACTCAAGGTGTTTTCACTTGTACTTATCTAGGAGTTCTCATGGTCTACACTACAAAGGCCTGTCACCACACCAATATGCTTTTTTCTTTGTCAAACAATCGGATAATTATTTATTTTCATTCAATTTAGCTCCTTCAGTAGCTACACATTGGAGAAGCAACTTCATATGCAAAGGGAATGTGAAGCTTTGTTCAAGACTTCTAGTTAATAAAGAATTTATGTATAGAAAAAAAATAGCATGGAAGGAAAAGAGATTCAAACATCCATCATAATGAATTATTGGCTTCTAAAACCAAATCTGCACCATTTCAGGGAGTAAGTCTGTGCCACCATTCACACACACGTGTGTTCATGTGCACCAGTAGCCTGAAGACATTACCAGTGACTGGTTTCCTTGTCGATGCTTGCAGTGAACTGGATTCAGTTGCCAAAGCGCTGCACCTGCTTCCACCACGGCATTTCAGGTTAATAGTTTGCTTCTGCTAGGAAAGAAGTCAAGCTGGTTGAGAAATCAATGCTGAATTAAATCTGAGCCACAGGGGTGTTCAGTGAAGATAACAGAGAAACAGTACCAGGGGGTTTGAGCAATAACTGGAATTGCCTCCTAAGAGCCAGCTGAAGCAGCCTGCTGTTAACACCCTCTGCCTGGTTACTGCTGCTCCATTTCATTTCATTTTCACATTGATCTTGTCACCTCTCCCACAACCAGCTGCTCCATCCAACTGCCATGCCAGCCCAGGACAGCGTGACTCGAAAAGCCCCACACAGAACCCTCCTCTCCAGCCACTCCAACGAAGCTGACCTGACCTGGTAACAGCTCTACTCTCCCACTTGCCTGCATCAGCAACACCTTTGTCTCACACAGCTGCAAGTGACCTTGGAGCAGACAAACCAGGTTCCTCAAAAAGATTTCCTTTCATCTAGATTTGTGCTCTACATGGACTTACTGTGCCCGAGATACTTAACAGCAAGATGAAGGGAATGTGCTTGATCTGTAGATCATGTGTCTGTTGGCAACACAACCATCCAAATCCTATTTGGGGCTGTCTACCTGGGCAAAGTCTAACAGCCTGCCCAGAGCCTGGGGGCTTGACAGTCCGGTCCTGAGGGCCAAACCTCTTCCCACTCTCCTTGTTATTTAGTTGAGCATGTCTCATTAGCTTCACTTGCTCCTCTCTGATATTTCTTTCTTCTCCTTCCACCCAACACAGTCATTAGGGTGTGCTCATCACCAAAGACACGACCACTGACAGCAACGATCACCTGTACTGGTTAATTTGTGGTATTTTGGGGGAAAAAAGAATCCACATTCTCAGTACATGCAGTTCCTGACAATTAGGCACTTATCAGTACTAGATAGTTTCACTGCATCCTTTCTCATCCAGTAACTCCAGAACACTTGCTCTGACCCAGGTAACCAACCCTGAAAGGACTTTCTTATTTTCTTTTGCCACCACAATGTTTCTTGAGAGGAGGTCACCTGCTGGGATAAGCCTCAGCTGACTGATGTCCATTCCCACCAGTGGAAGGACTCACTGAGCCAAACCCTGATCTGGTGCAGACTGTCTTGTAACCCCATGGGACGAGAAGTTTATAAATCAAGGCAGAATATAGTCACAAGGCACAGACAGAAGCTTAAAAAAAAAAGCCCCAAATTTATTACTGTATTTAGCAGCCAAATTGATGATTAAAGCACCTTAGATTTAAAACCTCAGCTCCGGCATCAGAAGCGAAGTGGCAAAGGGGAACCCAGATAAACTCTATTTAAAAACCATCTGTCATCACAGAAAAAAAAAACAATTTCAGAGATAGAGTTCTCTCTTCCCTGCTCCACCTCAGCTGGACCTCTCTGGACCTGATGGTTATGGTACCAACTTGAAATGGAATCAGAATCATAGGATCATAGAATCATAGAATGGTTTGGGTTGGAAGGAACCTTAAAGCTCATC